TGTTTACCGTGAGTGCGCTGCGGTGGAGCGGGTTTGCTTGCCTGAGAAGACACTCTTGACCCGGAAGACTTTCTGAGGGTCAGTCGCGAGGGACATCTCTGATGTAAAGTGGCGCCAGTAGTCGTGCTTCATTTCGTTGTTCTTTTAGACGCCTCTTGGTAGTTCCATTGTCTTCTAGTATTTTGGTTGCCTTGGCTTTTTCCTTAATTGTACTTTTTCTTCTATCAATTTGTCCCCTTCTTCATTCCAGAAGGGTTTAGGAAGTTTACGAGCGCCCTTAGTGATGTTTTGTTTGGATGTTTTTAAAATGGCTTCAGAGGGAAATGTATTTAATTCCGTGGCGTCTGTCATGTTAGGCATGTCTTTTGCCAAAGTCTATGTTTCTCATAAGGGCAGTAAACAACGACCAATTACACTGCCCGCCAAGGAAAAGCCAGAGCGTGGGTTGTTGAGGTCCTGGTGTTTCAAAGTGGGTCGATGCGTTTGGCAACTGTCGCCTTGGTTTGCCGGTTGGTAGACTGAAATCCCTCGGGAAGCACCATCTTGCAGGCTCGTTGTTCGCTTCCGTAACTAGCCTATGAAAATATTTTTTCAAAAAGTGATTTTTCTCCCCGTGCCAGGGTGAGAAGTCCCAATATTATAAGTGATGAGAAAACCTTAAAAATAATAATAATGATAATAATAATAATAATAATAATAATAATAATAATAATAATAATAATAATAATAATAATAATAATAACAAGTTAATAAAGTAATAATAATAATAATAATAATGATAATAATAATAATAATGATAATGATAGCAATAAAATAATAATAATAATAGTAATAATAATAATAATAATAATAATAATATGTGTAATAATAATAACAACAATAAAATAATAATAATAATTAAAAAATAAATAAAAGTAATAATAATAATAATAATAATAATAATAATAATAATAATAATAATAATAATAACAGGTAATAAAAATCTTCCTCCAACTTCAAGCTTTAATATCAATTGAGAATGAAACAATGAACAACCCAACAGAAAAAGTGCAAATTTTAAAGAATTAAATGTAAACTATCTGTGATGCGTGCTGACAAAATGAGTTACTTCTCAGATTCAAGCCTTAAAGAAATAGATACATCATGCTTATAGGTGAGGTTTTTACAGTTTATAAGTAGGGAATAATAAAAGACAGGTTAGAGATAAAGAATATGGCATCAACTGAAAATCTACAAGTTTGACCCTTATGGTGATTTTTGGCCAAAATCTCCATTTGTGGATTGCGAGAAGTAACTCATTTTGTCAGCATGCCTCACCTGTTTTTCTTCTTTCGCTCCATTCATGATAACCCCACCTCTCCTTTATCTCTATCCATATCTCTTCCTTCTCTCTCTCTCTCTCTCTCTCTCTCTCTCTCTCTCTCTCTCTCTCTCTCAATCTCTCTCTCTCTCAATCTCTCTCTCTCTTTCTTTCTTTCTCTCTCTCTTCTCTCTCTCTCCCCTCCCCCCCTCTCTCTCCCCTCCCTCCCCCCCCTCTCTCTCTCTCTCTCTCTCTCTCTCTCACTCTCTCTCTCTCTTTCTCTCTATCTCTCCAGCGTACCAACGTACATGTAATACCATGAAAGATCCAGGACGTACAATTCCGAGCACGTATTTTGCAGTATCCTCTTAAAAACAAAGCCGTGAGTTTTGTATCACCAACATCAGATTTGTCAGCTTTGTTATGATCTGCTTTTTGTGCACCGACCAGACTTCATCGTTGTGGAAGCATACAAATTGTTCTTCACCTTTTCACTGCGCTTCAAATTATATTTTCCCTCAAAATTTCCGGCGTCATCCATAACCTTCCTCACAATTAATTTTTCACTGTGTAGAAAGCACTTGATTTTTTCCTTTCACATCTAAAGAATACAAACTCTCCACACTTGACTTAGTCTTTTACAGTCCTTCGTCTCTCAAACAAAACTCAAGAGTCTCAATATCGTTCACCTCCTGTTCAAAATGTGATTGCTCATCCTCCTTAGCATGATCCAAGCCGAGAGGCAGATTTTCCAGTGCACTTTTGGGCGTCGTCATCACTGTCTCTTTGGTTTTGGCGCCTCTGTCTCAATAACCAGAGCTTGTGATCCGTTGGTTGGGCGCTTCTCGTGGGTGAGGGTCAGAATTGCAGACTTTACTGCTTTCATTTTTCTTGTGTCCTCAGTGCGCGCTGCGGCCTTGGAGAATGGGCAATTAATGTCTTTGGTGATGTCCATACCAAGGGTGTTGGCTGAGCTTGTGTCACACTGGAACTTGAGCATGGTTTGCGAATGTTAGTGGTATAGTTAGCACTGATGGTGACAGAGGAACTTAGAAGGCTTGGGCTTATCCGTTGAGTATGTTGGCAGAAAGTTGTGGTTGGGTAAAATGTTTCTATCCACGTGGTAAATCCAATGGACTAGAAGCCAGGGGTGATGTTTGAAGGTGTAAACGCCTTTGAAAAATCATACGAAACCATATGTGGCACTGAATGAATGGACTTCTGCTGCTTGCCAGCATTTACCGGATCTTTACACCACATTTCTAGAACATGATCATAGCATATCTGAAAAAAGTTTATACATGGACTTGTCCAGGTGCTGCGCTTCATGTGAGCAATGACGAGGAAAAGGCAACAATGTAATATGGTTGTCTTTGAAAAACGAAATTGCACTTTCACTGCAGTGAGAGGCGTGATTGGCGAGAATCACTAGCACGGGGTGCTCAGCCGAGGGCTTTGTGTGCTGTCGGAAATGCTCCAGGAAGCGTAGGAAATTCTCTGATGTTATCCAACCTGATGCCTTTGGCACAATTCCTGTTGGTGCAGTGAGTGCCCAGTGCTCTTGATCGTTCACGCGTGGGAATATAAGACACGGCGGCATTCTGTTTCCTATTGCATTCACAGCCCCGCAGAGAGTGACCCGTGCTGCCTTTTCCGTTTGATACAATAGATCCAGCACGCATTAATTTCTTCTCTTAGCCAAATGGTGTTGAGGGGTCTGGACTGTTGAGCATCCAGTCTTATGAATGTTCCAGATGGAGTCTGGTGTGAGCTTATGTTTTACCATGACACCCTCCAAGTTGCCAAAGAACTCGTTCACGTGTGTTTCATTGAACACCTGAGCACGGTTAATATATGTGGCTTCTGAGTGTCACAAGGACAGCTTGACTGCAGTACTGCCGAAAAGCATTCAGCCAGCCCTCCGCTACAGTTTTTTGTTTTTTTTTGAAGTCCAAGACTTGGTGACTGGCGGATGTTATTCTTGTCAGCCACCTCGTAAGCAAGTGTGTGGACATCCTGGAGTGTGAGGCCATAAATTAGGAGATATATTGAAGAATGTAGCATCCACCATGCTGAATGACGCTACTTAGAAGCTAAGCGGGTTATAAGCCTCCTCCCCTTTCGGGGTTAAAAGTCAAATCACAGGAGTGAAACCAAAGATTCTACACTTTGACTTGTGAAGAATCTTTGGTGAAACGCCTCGTAATTATATTTGAAGTGTGACTTTGCACCCCGGTTCTTAATTGTAGCCTATCCTATATATCTTCCTAACTTAATAAATTTGAAATAGTCTTCCAGTGGCGTATGGTGACCAAAAACAGGGGCGGCTTGTGGGGCTAAAAAGAGGGCTTGCACAATATTAAGCAACAGCAGGTTGAAGATAGTCAAGGGCATAGTAATTATGGGATGGTAGGATCTCTGGGTTGGTGAAGGAGGACCTTATGCTTTTATTTTCATTCTTTTTACTGTTCACTTTGATTTCTAGAACTAAATCTGTTTGTTAGCTAAACATCAAGTTCTTTATCCTGCATTGGAACTGAACACTCGAGTAATAACTTTCACCACTCCACTACAAAACCATTCAAATGCACACAACTCATAGGGTGGTGACTTAAGTATGTCACGTTCACCTCCCTCAGGTTCACGGTCACAGAGTCGCTTAAAATAGTGGCAAGACAGTGAGCCAATCACAAATCACTTGAGCACTCCACTGGATTGCTCCCGGGATCACATAATTTTGGCATTGAATAGTGTACGGGCTTCGCGTTTATTTTTAGACTGCCTACTGTGGGCTTTGTTTCGTGGGTGCACATTTGCGATGTGCCGTCTTGTTAATAATAATAGTAATACGTACCGCCAATTTTAAGTCGCTACTCGCTACAAACGAGTGTTGTCATCGCTTGGGTTATCCCAAAGAGCGATTTATAGGTCAGATAACCACTGTTGAATATTCTATTACGTTTAGTTAAAGCGCGCGCGTACGTAGGCCTTGGCATGGCGAAGTAGATTCTTTACTGCGCTATTGACACAGAAATGACAGTTACAGCACCAGCGAGGACCTTGTTTTGATATTATATTTGGCTAGTGTTTGTTTCTTACTTCTTTTATTTCATGTTTGTGGGTGCTTTTCGTAATAGAACATTATAACATTTTGGGCGGCACCGCACGACCGTGCTCTATGGACGAACCGCGCCTAGACCTAAATTATGTACTATTATTATTATTAAGATCTATTATCAATATTATTTTTAAAAAAATATTTTGTCTCACGATGACGACGATTTTGTCTCACGATGACGACGATCATGATCCCCCCGCCCCCCTTTTTCATTTCTCGCCAATTCAGAATTGTGTGTGTGTGTGTGTGTGTGTGTGTCGTGTGTGTGTGTGTGTGTGTGTGTGTGTGTGTGTGTGTGTGTGTGAGAGAGAGAGAGTGTGTGTATGTGTGCGTGTGTGCGTGTGTGTGTGCGTGGAGAGAGAGAGAGAGAGAGAGAGAGAGAGAGAGAGAGAGAGAGAAAACCAAGTAAATTTATGTATGTACAACTGGATTTTTCGCGTACTGCTATTAATAGAACATTGTGATATTAAAAGCCCCCTGGTTTTTCCTAAGACGCATAAATGACGTCATTTTTGGTTTCAAACAAAAATGTTGCCACTTTGAAAAGAAAATTACATTTCACGCTGTCTTTCTTTTTCCGATTCTAGGCCCTAATATTGAAGTCATATAGTTTATGTACCCTTAAAGCATACCATATAATTTGTTTGTTCTTTTTCACACTTAAATATATCAAACGTTTGTGTCATACAAGATTTAACCCGTCACCAGTAACTGTGCTCATTTTTTATTTATATGTTGTTGTTTTTATAAGATTGTACCTGGCACAAATTTGTACTATTGTTCAGGTCACTGTGATTGGTTGATTTTCAGCTACAGAGCGGATGCCTTTGTTTACGGAAGTTTCGTTTCACCGTGCTAACCTCATCTGATCATCTCCATTGTCACGTTTTCAGCGCTGTGGATGCTTTCAAAATGCCTAAGATTGTCGAAGAACGTCGCTATCCGTTCTGTGTTGACGAGACCAAGTATGAAAAGCTCGCCAAAATTGGACAAGGAACATTTGGGTGAGTCTTCACAGTTGTCTTGTGGTCTTCTCTGTCGAATGGTGGGCCCAACGGTAACAACACGTGAGGGCATAGCCTAGCGTGCTCTGTACTGTATGGCTAAGGTTAAGGGTTATTTCAACGGCAACAGAAATACAAAATCTAATCTAGATTATTAGATCTAGATCTAGATATTGTTTGCGAATATATTATAAATCTTCCGACCGCTTAAGAATAAAAAAACCCTGGTCAAACTCCTCGACATGCTCGCTCTGTCATTGTCGTCAGTCATTGTCGTTGGTGACCTATTTTGTCTTTTTGGTGCTTTTTCGGTAGTTCCCACCCCCCTTATTTGAGCCTGACCTACTTCTAGATCTAGATCTATACGTTTGATTCGCGGTGAGCTAAGATATCAAACCTAACAACAGCAAAACATTAAATTGTGGGGCAAGACCCCCTGAAAACCCCCTACTCTTGGGGCCAAAACCCGTGAACAATTGCATTGCGGGGTGGGAACTACCCAAAAAAGCGCCATGAACAACACAAATTCCTGGGAATGGAGTGTTTTTCCTGAATCAAACCTGAGAAGGCACAGTATTATACAATATGGAAATGAACTTATATATTACTTTGAGCTGAATTGAATCATGGACAATAGCCTACTGTTGTCAAGTTGTCTGCATTTTATTTTTAACGCACTGCCGCAGTGCAGTGGCTACATTCACAGCTCCGTGAATGCAGTTTGCAGGCGCTGTTGAGGCTACATTCACGGCACTCAAGCTTCGTTTAGATGGAGCGTCCACTGCTGGTTTAAGTAAGCCGGGTTTAGTCAGTGACGACTGCGACGTAGATTTAATGGCTTCCATATTTAACATTTGGTAGCGTCAATTGCCACCGAGTGACGCGGTGGCAATTGACAAAAATTGACTTTTTGTCAATTGCCACCGAGTGAAGCGGTGTCAAGTCTGAAAACAACACTATCTTTAGCATTATACATAATGTGTGTCTAATGGGTCTAGTCTAGAGCTACGGTACCAACTTGGCGTGTTTTCAATGAGACGTAGGCCTAGATTTAGGCTAGCCTTAGCCTACACTTTGGTGTAGAACAAACACAGGCAATTCTAGAAGTAGAAGGTCACAAACGCACACAAACTCAAGCAGAAATTCACGTATCCTATGTCACTTTTACTTTTTAGCTTTTGAATCAGAATGAGAATAGAATGCTTTCTGTCATATCAAATCAATCTCATTGAAAGCAAAGAAAAAGGCCACAAGTAATATGAATGAAAGTAAAACTAAATCATGCTCACAGGAACACCACATCTTAGTTAAAAATTGGAGTAAATATTTTGAAATCTCCTCTGGGGGGTGGGAATTTAGAGAAAATCTTATTCCCACCTGGCCTTTTTAAATACAGATCAACTCTTGATTGCGGTCAGAATTTGGGAAAAAAACCCCAACAATGTTATTTAAGAGAAGAGGCGGGACCTCCAAATTTAATGGCAATCTCCAATGTGAGTGACTCAAATTGAGTGGAGAGCTTTAAAAACTCTCCAATCCAAAATAATTTCAAAACAAAATTCAAAACAAGTTTCAGATTGTCTCATTGGGGATTCAAACTAGGGCCATCTGCTCCATAGCCCAGCTTGAATCCAACTGAGCTGACGGTGCACCTGCTCTGATGCTGCCCGCAATAAAAAGGCAAATTTCATTTTCATTGTTTTACCATATTTATGGTGACATAGAGAACTAAAGGTTTTTTGTTTGTTTTGTTTTCTCAGGGAAGTCTTCAAAGCTCGGGACAAAAAAACCCAAAGGATAGTAGCAATGAAAAAGGTTCTCTTGGAACATGAAACGGAAGGGGTAAGTAAGAATGAAGTATTTCTATGCATACTCTACCTTTGTTAAGCTGAAATTTGAAATCCTCCCTCAGTGATAGAATTTCAGACTGACTCAGAGAAATGTTTCGCTTTTTATCATAATGCCTATGTCTCAATTAATGATAATTTAGGAATTGAATTGAAGTATTGAAGTGGTTTGGAATTTGTAGGCTTTAATCTGTTCATGCAAATAAATCAGGTCAAACTTGTCTGATGTTTTTTTTTAAATTTGTGAAAGGAATTATTGAACAATTGTTAAGCTCTTTTGATTTAACTTCGAAATCTTTATTTCTGGAGTTGAGTGTGGACTATATGGAATCTTATAGTGCGGTCAAAAAATTTGTGGCGCGACTTTTCCTCAAATATCTTTATAACGGGTCTTGAAATCAATGTCACCCATACTTTTCACAGCAGTTTGTCTCAATTTGTCTTATCTTAATCATATTTTTCCACCACAATTGAGGCTAGATTAAAAAACTTTTCTTCATAAATCTATATGAAATACTACACACCTCTTTCACGCGGAAACTAGAATTGTTCACAACACTTCCCGCTTCTCACACACATTTTGTATACACGCATATATATGGGTTACGTCACAGCTCACCAATGACACTTTTTAGTGACAAAACTCGTTACAAGAAATTTTTTTTACAATGAGCACTTTTTTGCACTTCTAACAGTTCTCAAAACATGCGTTCAATAAGCGTAAATATTGAATATTGCGATTAGAAAAAAATGACAGACTTGCTTTTAAAAGCAATATTGCCTGAGCTGTATACTTTTTAAAATCTGGAGACATTAAAAATCTGTAGACACCATCGACTGAGATTTTTTATTAGTGTTTATTAAGGAATTTTCTAGAATACAATACAGTGTGAAAGAGTTTGGAAAAGTATTCACCTGTTGAGACGACAAATTGATATAAAAGTCATGTTCAAAAGTTGGAAACTATATGTTCGATAGTTAAGGAGATATATTTGAAAATAAGTTGCAATATATATTTTTGACCGCACTTGACTATAGTTTAGGTTAGATCGCCAAATATGTATTATTTTGTTTGCCGTTCTTTCAGGGGGAGGGTGTAGGGGCTGTCATTGTCTATTAATGAAAAAACTATCATTATTTTATTCAATGTTTCAGTTCCCTATTACTGCTCTGAGAGAGATAAAAATTCTGCAAGTTATGAGGAATGACAACATCGTCAATTTGCTGGAAATTTGCAGAGCAAAACGTAAGTACAATGTTAATGCATCCCATCGATTTGCAATTGATCTCTCCTTCCAGCAGAGATGCCAACCAGTACTATTTTACGTATTTTAGTACGATTTTTTGCCGAAAATACGCGAATACGACTTTTCATGAAAAAATACGCATCCTGGAATTAATGCGAAAAATACGAGATTCAGCTTGGGCGAGTAAACCTTATTATCTCAAGTCCCATCTTTTGTCAAAATATTATCAGTATCATAGAACTGGAATATTTGAAAACCAAGTCCGATGTGGTCAGTAAGTTCGTTTTTGCCGGTCGCAATCGTGATATTATATTCATTCAGCATTTCCCCGTCCTGAGAGTACGTTTCACTTTCAGTACGCGAATAGGCAGCAGATTTAAGCAGGCGGAAGCGTATGTGACACTGAGGCTCGATCGGGAAAATTAAGATGTACTTTCGCTTTCGTTACCACCGAGTACTTTGCCAGCAGTTGTCTGCTAACGCAACATTTGTGACATGCAGGTTGTGCTTTATAAACGCAATGTCGCTGTGCAAATAAAATTTAATCAATGCTCGGACTCGTCTCTGTGCTGTCTCTCGTGGAAAAAAAAAGAAAAGAAAATACAACCGTCGTCCGATTTTTCGATTGTCTGGCTCGCCATTGTGACCGGTCACTGAACCTGCGTGCATTCGCGTCATAAATAAATGCGGCATCGTGTGAGCAAAGACCGTCTTTGGTGGGAGTAACGGCCTGCGAAGTATAGGACTACGGAATAGGGGAAGGGATTATTGATTTTTTGTGGGTTTAAGATACTATGGGGGTGGGGGGGGTGTGAAGGCAACACCAGAGGACAAAAACTTGGAAGCACATTTCAGAATTTTGATTAGAGCTTTCTGCAAAGCGCGCGTTGGTGCAGGCCGTGTGCGGAATCGGGACCCTTCATACTTTGCAAGTCTGTGTTATTGAAATATTGTGTTGTGTTTCATTGGATGGGTATAGTAAATTATACTTACAGTGTATGTTGTAGATTTCTGTTCAAGACTGGCAGATTTTCAATGTCACTGCATTTTGCCCTACCACAGTTGTTACAACTCTCACAGTGCTTGGGTCTACTTGAGCCATTCAAGTTATTTCTTTTCTCTGAGTGTGAGCAATAATTTGAGTCTGCCAGTTCATAATATGAATCATGACTCCCAGATTGGTTCTTGATAGTCGAAATTTTTGTTCTAGGCCCTTCCGAACTCTCAAAGCAGGATTTATTTTTTACATAATAATGAGAGGAAAATATTACCTGTATAATAGACTGAAATACTTGAAGTCAAACAAGACCCCACTACGACACTGAAAACTGACATGTTGACTGGATACACTTATATTGTATGCGTGTGTGCTCCCTTTTTCGAGCTGGTGAGCTAGTATTTTTTTTTCAGGAAATACTACTGGACCCCGTTAACATTTTACTAGTTGGTCGGTCGGTCGGTCGTGGGGAATACACATTTTCCCCTGAAAATACACATTTTCATATTTCCCAATACTCATTTCGGTTTTCTGTTGTTGGCATCTCTGTTCCAGGTTATTATTTTCATTAATATGTGATGTGTGCTAATTGTTTGGTATATTTGCTATATTATATGGAACTGGACCAGCTCTATTCGGACTCGAGTTGGATTAGATTTTTTGTCTATTCGGACTCGAGTCCTAATACTAATATAGGTTTTATCTATTTAGACTCGGCTTCTATGTGGGTTATGTGAGTATAAGGAGGTTACATAATATAACTGTCGTCCGGGGATTTTACGTAAAACCAGAATTAGAACTAGAATTACCTACTAGGAATTGTGTCAAAAGTCAAAAGACTGCACTCTCATTGCCCAGTGGCTGTGTCTAAGTACACGGTAACCGACAACTCAGGGTCTTTCCTCTACCACTAGCCTACAGCATCATCATTTACCTCCACCACCATTTGTCTTTTCACATGTTTAATTTCATTTTGTTGCGTGTTATAGTTTTTCTGTAATTCATCTTTTAAAAATTTGACAGCCAACACCTCTTCCCACTTCCCCCCAGCAAGCCGAGAGTGCGAGATTGCCACGTGCAATCTCATTGGTCAACATAATTAAATCTGTCCCCCGGCAAGGTCTTAGGTCAACTCAACTTGGTTATTCTGTTCATGCCAATGGATATTGATGCAGGGAGGGCCGGTTTAGATAGATCTAGCAACGGGATATGTTAAAGATCACGTCTCAGCGTTGTCATTATAAATCGAAAACATTTTTTAAATAAATAAATGCTCGAAATATTTAGGAACAAGGGTCGGAAGTCGGAACGGATGTCATGCTGGACTCAATTCAGAGTCTGAATATAATTTTTGTTTAATCGGACTGGAGTCCAAATAGTCACTTTGATAGAACTGGTGATGATAGCGGCAGTCTTTTGTCTTGTGAGATTGGGGGTTGAAGTACTATTGTCAGTTTTGAAGTGCAGTTCCAGAAATGATTCTGTTTTTGTGCAAAGTTTAAGAAAATCAATCCGCATTTGAAAGTGTTTCTATTACTCAGTCATGTTTAGAAAGACAAGATGGGACAATTTTTTTTGTACTCAAGAAATTAGTCGAACCTGCCATGACGGCCAGTTTCCATTTCCTCCCTTGTGTTTTTTATTTGTATTTTAATTGTGTAAAAGGTTCACCTGTCCAACGCGTCCGCGGCCTCCCTATTTTTAATTTTATCTACCCACTGTCAAATTTACCTGTTTTGCACGGCAAGGCTTTGTTAAGCATTATGCATTTTCCCCTGATGCAGCGGACAAGCCATCATAATTCATTCACCTGTCGTTATTGTCAGTCCGTCCACTTGATGAAACGGTCATGTTGCTTTGGTTCCTCCCAATATTTATCCCAGTTGACCAATGGGTAACAATAAATGTTCTGCTTCTTGTAAAGGAAGCGTGTGATCTGTCATAACCTACAAGTCCCACCCAAAACTCAGTCCATAAACCCTGTCCACGACTATGAAAGTCAGCGCTAACTCAGTTGGTTTTTTTACTATGGCATTTGGCCTTCCTCATCTGACACATTTTGTTTTGTTTTGACCATTCACGGAAACATAATTTTGAAAAATAATAATAATAAAACTAACAACAAAAAGTAAAACAAAAAACGCTCCTGTCCTCTCCCCCCCTTTAAGCCTTTTGAAAGAGAAAAAAACCCAAACAAACCAAAAATATTTTAATGAGCTCTACGGCAGTCCTAAACCTGCGACCATCTCCTATTAGGATCTCAGAAGTAAATTATGGTTTTTGTTTCCTTCATTTTGATCAGTCCTGCTTATGATGGCCACCTGTCTTATACGGCCACTTTTTTTCCTCTACAACGCGTGGCTGTAGTACACAGGTTCGACTGTGGCTTGGAAACAAAATCTAAAGTTAATACAATTATGATGATCCTTAAAATAATCACAGTTCTAAATGTAATGAAAGTTTTGTCTTACAATGCAAGTGACCCTCTGATACGTTAAAGATACCCTAGGCTTGCGACAGATTTCCTTTTATGATGTACCTGAAATTATTATTTTTCTCCTCATCCGTACTTCGGGTAGAAAAAGTTATTTGAAAGAATGAACTCTGTACCTGAGTCCTAACATTTGATAAAATTTAAAGAGTGGTTTCCTTTCTTTTTAAACTATTTCTGTCCAAGAAAACTTTGCTATTTGCACTAGAACAACATGGTTTGTGACTGCACTTTCATCTTTTCTTCAGCTTTTCTCATATCATAATTTTGTTTTGATTACCTTGATTTTTTCTTAATAAATAATAGTTGTTCAGACTTTATGTTCCGTGTATTAACAATTGAGAGGTTGCTTCTAGTTTGTCTTAAAAATATTACAATTTACTTTTAAACTTAAACAGTACTATTCTCAGATGTTTGGGGGGGGGGGGTTTGGTTGAAAAGTGCAAAAATCCTTTTAATTCAGTAAAATGTGATTTCAAGTAAACGGCAGAGTTTGCAGGTCAAGGGAGAACTCTACAGTGTGGAATGAAACCCGTTTGTGGCAAATTTTGAGATATTGTATTATTACCATTTCCAGCTACACCGTACAGCCAGAGCAAGTCCACAGTGTACCTGGTGTTAGAATTCTGTGAACACGACCTGGCTGGACTTCTGAGCAACCCCAAGGTCAAGTTTAGCCTGGGCGAGATCAAGAAAGTGATGCAGCAGCTGTTCAACGGACTCTACTTCATACACAGGTGCTTCTATCTGTACTCACTCGGTCATTTTTTTGAGCTATCGGTTTCTGTTCTCATTACTAAGTCACTGCTCAGTAGAAGAAATGATTCTGTGTGTACAGTGTTTTTGGAATTACAAAGTGAGTCGTGTTATGTTATAGGTGGGTGTTTGGCAGGTGCTCTTGTGTGGTTTGCTTTCTTCCCTATCAAACATCTATTCATCTTTATCTCTCCTCCTTTTATCTTGAGTTTGTTGCTCTCTTGTAACACCTCTAATCTTTGGTACAAATATGACCAAACTCTTATTAAAACACAAAACTCCCCTTTTTTGTGTTTGTTACTCTCTTGTAATACATCTAATCTTCAGCGCTTACATGACCTAATGTTTTGTTTTGGCTCGCAACTGCAGCGATAACCTAAGATGTTGCAAGTGCTGTAAGACTTTCACTAAAACAAGGAGGCATTATTTTTTATTCTCCATTCTACTGTTTTTGCTTCAAAATCTGTCACACGTTTTCTTCGTTGTCATGTTACAATGTGTGTCTTTTTAAATTGAAAGACACCCAAGCAGAATTGTTGAATCTGGTAGTTCATTGTCATTTGTTGCTTGAGGCGAATGGGGTAATTGAGCATGGTTTTGGAAAAAACGTGTGGATATTTCTTTTGCTAAGAAACAGAGATCACGGATTTCCATTCCATTGGTTTTTGAGTAGTCTGGTGTGGTCTATTCCTTCTACTTCTTTTCAGTGTTTTCATTTTATTTCATTTATTTATTTCAATGTTTTAATTGGTTGTCTTCAAAATAAGACTTATTGTACTGACTGGCCAAAAGTTGCAAATTTAACAAACATTCTATATCTGTTTGAATTTTCCACCTTTTCCATTGCTGTCTTCTGAATTTTGCTGTAGTCTTGTTTGTCATATTTATTATTATTTTTTTTCCCCTCTTTTTCATAAGCAACAAGATTGTACACCGTGATATGAAGGCTGCTAACATCCTCATCACCAAGGACGGCAATTTAAAGCTTGCAGACTTTGGACTTGCTAGAGCTTTCAGGTAATTATATTATGCACATTTTTGTCTGGGTTGAGAGACTATGCCGTAATTGTGTCAGTAACGAACCTTCCTCCTATCTCAGTGGTCTCATCCAAATTTTATGCTCTAAATAGTTAACTGAGTTCAGGCAATCTGTATCTTTTTAAAAGAGTTCCCCGGAAAGGAGGTAAAAAATAAGCTGACAGATCTTTTGTCCACCTTTCTCCATCAGTTTGATTTGGAATTTTTCTCTTGCCTTGCCCAACCCGTAAGATATATGTTCTACATCTGGACTGCTCATCATCTGTCACTATTCAAAGTGGCAATTGACGGAGCCTTACAGTGAGCAGTGGATTTGTGTCTAAAAGTGAAACATGTCGAAAGAAATGTAATGAAACGTGAGGCATCATTGTGAAATCAGGCACTGGTCAAAATAATGAAATTGTAGAAATGGCATTTTTCTACCCGTTTGGTTTTTTTTTCTTTTTCAAATTTAGTTTTTTGACTCAACACCTTTGAGGTTCATTAAAAATATATTTATGTGTGGATTTTAATGAAAAGCATTGGTCTAAGGCACAGAAAATGTAAATAAGCAGTTTCCAAGGACTGTCAAGCTTTGGAAGTCACCGCAATTTGGCAGCCATTTTTTTGCTAATTTTACCCCTGAGTCCGGCAACCCCCTCCTTCTTCAGTCGCAAATATCTCGACTTCTATTTGGGAAAGATGGGTACTTTTTTCACTGAAAGCAAGACAAATGAATGAGCTTTAAGGTGATACCAATAGCTCGACATGCCCAAGAATTAATGAGCGCCTGATTCCACCGCATCGTGACACAAATCATGTCTAACTCTGTAGCTTAATTTTTCAGTACATTATTGTGTTAATGACCGTGTATTTAGGTGTTCTTTTCTGTTGACCTACAGATTGCTTTGAGTCTACACATTATGTATTTAATTTTGTATGTGCTCACTTCATAACAATGTGTATGCGTTGGTGATGAGAGAAAAGGTATGTTTGTGTATGTGTGCTCGTGAATTAGTGAGTGTTTGTGTGTGAGTGTAATTTCTCCCCTGTGTACATATACCGTCAGTGAGTGGGTGCTCAGAGGTGATCTGCTTTTCTTTTTTTTCTTTTTTAATGCTGCTCTGTGCCTATTCTGTGTACCAGCAAAACGTGGCCCTAATCTTGGGGAATCTCTGTGCATTATACCGCAGCTGTGTATACAGTGATTGTATACTGACAAAATTTCCTGAACAGAGCCTGTCCATTGTGGTCACTCAAGATCCCAGACGAAAGTAACCTTTATAGACAGGTGGCTATTATGGTCGAGGTCTGAGGTATGGGAACTTCGAGAGTTGACTAAGCCAACAAATGGTCTAAAATCTGAAATCTTCATTTTATCTTTCTATGTCTTTTCCATCAAAATTGTCAGTTCTCCTAAGAGCTTCTTTGCGTTGATTGAAAGATCTCACTTAGTCTGAGGATGGGTTGGTGGAAGACATTTTGTTGCAAGTGACTGCAGAGGCAGAGACCTGGTATGACAATGACCGACCATGGCCACGTTGGACAAGGACTACAATGGAAATGTTTAAAAAGTATAGGACTACGGCAAGGGTGTCACAGAGCAGTGGCGATTAGTACCGTTGACCGTTAAGACAGGACAGGACTGACAATATTTTATTAAGGCATCTGTGGTTTCCGTCCCTTTCTGACTTTGTCTTGTCTTGTTTCAGCAACAAACTGAAGCGCTACACCAACTGTGTTGTGACACTTTGGTACCGCCCGCCGGAGCTCCTGCTGGGTGAGCGCAACTACGGGCCGGCCATCGACTTGTGGGGAGCAGGGTGCATCATGGCTGAGATGTGGACACGCTGCCCCATCATGAAGGGTGGCACGGAGCAGCATCAGGTCAGGAAATGACTTTTTCGGTCAAATTTGAAACATACAGCATAGCACGCGCGCAGTGAAGTTGGCGAGATGCCAAAATCTTTATGTACCTGTTTTAAATACAAAGAATATACATGTATGATATGCATGTTTTTGCGATGGGCGTGCAAGACTATTTGGATGTAGCATGTCTTCTTAATATGTCTCTCAAGTGTCAGTGCAAAGTATCCCATCGCTTAACATAGGCAAGATTAAATCTTTGGAATAAATTAGTCCATGAATTGTTTTCCAGACTTTCTTTCATTGTTCATAATTACCAAAATACGCAAAAGTAGGCGATGATAACTCTGTTTTAATATTTCAATTTTCTAATGAACTGTGATTTCTTTGTTTTTGATTGGTGCAAGGCTTGGAAAATGTCTCAAAAATGCACGTTCACGACCGACGAAGTACTTCAAGTATTCAATCAAAATGACTGAATCAAATTTCCGTAAATTCCATTGTGGATGATAACGATCAGTAATTACAGTTGAACCTAGCATGAAGACCACTTGTACAATACGGCCACTTTCCATTTCCCCCTTTGCGTTTCTTCTATATAACATAACTGTAAAACGGTCATCAGTCCAAGGTGGCCTCCGCGACCCTATTTTATCAACCTATGATCAAATTTACCTGCCTCAGGTGGCTAGACGTGGTCACTCATTGCCCGACGCTTTGCCATAAATTTTGAATTGGCCCCTTATGCTGTTGACAAACTCATAATTCATTCAGCTGTCGTAATTGTTGGTTCCTGCAATGAATGTTTACCGAAGTTGACCAATGGGTAGGCGTAACGGTAAATTTTCTGCTCCTGGAAAGGGAAGCGTGTGATCCGTCATAACCTTTAAGCCCCACCCACAACTCATGCACAAATTATGTGTGAGGTGACTGGTCACTGTTTTGTTTACCTAACCTGTAACAAAGTAGCAATGGGCATTGGTGTGAAAGAGCGACAGATGCATTTCTCGTTCTCCGAGTGGTGGCGACCCGTGTGTTTGTTGTACCATGGCACTCGGTCTTCATCGTCTTCCTTACATGATAGTTCATTTATTTTACCCTTGCTCAAAATCAGCAACAAAAAGAAAGCTAACCAGAAAATAAACCAACAGCGCAAAATAACGATATTGGAGAAAAGGGCATTTTTCCGCAAGTTGGAAAATTTTCTTCGAATTTTTATTTTTTGACTCAACTCCTTTTTGTCCAATATGAAAACACATTTCTTTGTGAATTTTACTGAAAAATGTTTCATTTTATCCGTTTTCAAGAACTATTTAACTATTGGAGTTGCCAAACTTTGGTGGCCATTTTCTCGCTAATTTCACCACTCAAACCAGGCAACCTCACCTCCTTCAATTGCAAAAATTTTTACTCCTATTCAATATAGATATAGATGGATATTTATTTCATCGGAGGCAAGGCGAATGAAACAGCTTTCAGATACTACCAATAACTCCACATGCCCAAAAATTGATGAGCACCTGGTTCCACAGCGCCGTGACACATATACACCCTGAATTTCAATTCATAAAGTGTGGCCCCTTTGTATGGGTATAGAGTCGATAGGGATATGGTCAGGATAAAAAGAGTTAAAATGGTGTTTTTTTCTGAAGCATGCTCTGGTCAATAGGATGTGATAGAGAGTCTCATCTCTAAGTCTGAAAAGTCTTTTACATAGTTTTTTTTTTTTATTGAGAGCTAGAAAATTGAATTCTTACAAATCTTGTCACCCCTATATATTTTTGTGTTTATGGTCTCTTTGATGAGGTTGTAAGATTCTGAATACTTTGGGTATTTTTTCAGGTTTTGATGTATGTGCAGAATTTTTTCTATCATTTTGTTTGTTTTTATATTTTTCAGCTTGCTTTGATCAGCCAGTTGTGTGGGTCCATTGTTCCTGAAGTTTGGCCTGGTGTCGAGAAACTGGATCTCTTCACGAAGCTCGAACTGCCTAAGGGTGAAAAGCGCAAAGTCAAAGAACGGCTGGACAAGGTTGTCGGAGATAAGTATGCCCTTGACCTTATGGACAAACTTCTGACCCTCGACCCCTCAAAGCGTGCCAACTCGGACGATGCCCTGAACCACGACTTCTTCTGGGTGGAGCCGCTGCCCCAAGATCTCCAGAGTACGCTGTCCCAGCACAACAAGTCCATGTTTGAGTACCACACACCCGGCAGAAGGAAAGTTATGGCCCCGCGGCAGCAGCAGCAGCAGCAGCGGCAAGCACTTCAGAAGCCCGCTGTTGTCAGACCGAAGGGACTCAACCCCGACCAGCACGTTGAACCTATATTTTAAGGCAAAATTGTTGGTTCTAGTTCATTCCAAATTAGGCACAGTGCTGGTACATTCATGAGTTCTTACACACAAATGAAAAGCTTTGATAAGTTTTATTACGGGTAACGAAAGGCTGTCTCAGGTAACAGTTTGAAGACTGTCACCTACTCGTGAAAGTTGAACTTTTGGATGTATGGTGAAGGCGCTAATAGATTGTGAATTTTACATCAGGAAATGGTAGACTCGCTACTGTATGATGAAAGGGAACATAGGTTTACGGCAGGGATCAGACTTTTTAACTTCTCCATCGTTCAGAGAAGTTTGAGGAGTTGAAAATACTTAAAATGATAAAGACACTGCTATATGGCGATATTGAAAATAAGTTTATGGCAGGGCAGAAAAGGCCTTTTAATTTGAAGCTTGAGGAGTCAAAAGGAGTGCTTACTATGTTCATTGGAAGAATACAGTATTATGTGTTCTGTATCATATTATGTGACAGGGTCACATTGTTCCATACACAAAAGTAACTGTTTGCTTGCCATGGCTCGGGTCCAAATATGTTAAGTTGATTGTTGTGAAACAAATAGCATGGTAGTTTGGGATGATTAAGTAATGACTTTTTAAACCTGGTATAAGTACAGTTGGTATTGCCCAAGAAGGCCACCCATCATTGAGGAGAAAAGTGGTTGTTTTAGACAGGTGACATCTCGGACAGTGTCTTTATAACTATATTTTTAAAAGCAAGGTGGGAGATTGGGGTGGACGTTTGGACAAGTGATTGTCTTGGACAGGTGGCCATTAGAGAAGTTTTGACTGTATTTAGATTATGGAAAAAAACAACATTATTTATGTTCATGTGCATGACAGTATGTGGAAGTGTGCCTTAAGTTGTATATATACGAGTATATATCGTCATAAATATGTCTGTTCAGACATAACAAACTTGTGAGGCCAGTGTTGATAACTCAAGTATTTTTATGCCTCAGGTCTGTTTGTTTTAGTCATAAGACAGTCTTTCATTGTGTTCCTTTCCTACTATAGCAATGTACAAACCCTGTGTCTTTCCTCTAGCCTAATGGCGCTAGATGTGAACTTATGTCGGTTTTTTTTGGGTTTTTTTTGTCAAAGGAGGTCAGGTCTCAGCTGATGACTTTTACGGTCCCTATGCCAAAGTTTGTCATATCAGATCCTGGAGATAGCTTTTGACATAACTCCGCTGTGATGTTGTCAAATGTATGGCCGTGATATGTCCAGGAAAAGATATGAACAATTTCTATGGTTATTTAATTCCAAACTGCTCATCCCGGTCATCAGTTTAAAGATATTTATATTATTTATTTTATTGTGTTAGTGTTGCGACATACGAGTATGTGTCACAATGTGGGGGAATCATGCTCTCGTCAATTTTTGGTCATGTGAAGTTGGTGATATCATCTTAAAGCTTGTGTGTTAGTCTTTTGATGACAAAAATACACATCTATATTGAATAGAAATGCAGATATTTGTGATTGAAGGAGAGGGTGGCACCTGGTTTCAGATGTAAAATTAACGAGAAAATGGCAGCCAAAGTTTGGTGACTTCCATAGCTTGAGAGTCCTTAGAAATATAAATTTTACATGTTTTGTGCCTTTAATCTATGTTTTTCAGTAAAATACACACTGAAGCATGTTTTAGATGGACATGAAAGGTATAGGGCTAAAAGACAAAAGTGTGATAAAATTTGCCAAACCTACGGAGAAATGCTGGTATTTTCGATTTGACTATTTTTGACGAGCGCCTGTTTTCACCGCCATGTCTCAAATATTATGTCTTACAAAGACAAATACTTTCTGAGTTGTTCAATTTTGCTCAAATGTGTACATTAAACTGGATAGGAACATTTGTTCTGTGTGTGTCGATGTATGTAATTCTTGTGGGTGTCATTTTTCCCTCTTGCATGCACTTGAAATACTGATTTGGGGATACTTCGAGTGAAGCATAAATTGATGGTCTCAATGGACTCGGGATCTGAAATAGAAATAGACTTGTGTTGACTACTTAAGACCTAACTTTCTTCTTTTTGGGGGGGGGGGGGGGGGGGACATGGAGGTTTTTCTAAGGTTTTGTTTTGAACCCTTTTTCAAGTGTTAAATAATCATATATTCATTTTTCTTCAAAGACCAAGCTGTCTGAGTTTCATAAGTTGCATTTATCAAATAGTTGAAAACCTTTCTGTAGTGTATGTGTCCACATTGTCATGTACTGTGGTGAAAGTTCGAATGTGTGTAATTTACTCTTTTGGATGATACATACTGCTAAATGTATTGTGCATGCACGAATGTATCAATTCAAGATGTTTTCAGTATTCATGATATTATTTGACAAGCCAGTCATAATGCTCTTTTTTTTTCTTTTTAAAAAAAAATTCCATTTTAGATTTTTAATGTAACTGCAAAAAGTGTATATAAATTTATAAAGGCAATTCCATGAATGTTTTATCTTTTTCACTTCCTGGACAGGTGACTTAAAACCTTTTTTAATTAATTGTGTCTTAATTTTTCTTCAGAGAAATCAAATAAATATCCTAGCAGTGTTTTTTTTTTTCTTTCTTATTGGCTTTAAAGATTCTTTGGTAGTATAACTTATATGTTGTTGTTGTTGTCCCTTTTCTATATTTTCATATTTGCCCTGTTGGTAACTAACTGTATGAAAACTCTTATGAGTAAAAGACAAAGGCAGTATTTTTTCAATAAATATTTACCAATTTTCTTGTCCAGCATTAACATTTGAACGTTGTATTTTTGCAGACTTCTTTTCCACCAATGTTTTTGGCTGCTTGTAAAACTTGAAATAATGTTGTGTTATGAAAATTTGCAAGTGACTTTGTAAATATAATTATGTGTGTTGTCTTTTATGATGAAATAATAAAACTGACTAAAATAATTTCCACAGTATTTTCTTTGTTTTAAAATGTGTTTGGTTTTCTATTTCTTTCTACGAAGTAGGTGTTTGTAGGGCTTTTCCTGTAGGCCTGACTTCTTTTCGTTCCCTCTGTTGTTTCTGACAGTCTTTTGCCTGCACTAAACTTTTCTTTCTGTTTTTGATGGTTGGCGAGGGCTCTTGTGTGGTTTGCTGCTTCTTTCCTCTCAAACATCTTTCGTCCTTATCTCCCCTCCTTCTTTTTTATGTTTGTTACTCTTTTGTAACAGCTCTAATCTTCTGGCGCTCATATGACCTTGTGCAGTTGCGAGCACCGTAAAACCTCTACTAAAACAAAACATTCTTTCCTCAAGGGTGGTGAGCAGCAGCTCTTTCAAGACTTGTCATATCTCATTTTCATAAGCACCTGGTATTTTTGTGGGGTTTTTGTGTTCGTGGATTTACACCCGTCTCCTATTCCTAACGACAAAATTTAGAACATTCAAGGGGCGAGCCTCAACCTTCCTGTCTGGGCCAACTCGGGCTGAGAGAGATACATTGTCCCAGCGGAAAGACTGACTGAGGTACTCGATAAAAAGCTTCCCCTCACAGGAATCTTAGGTAAAGTGTGCAATGGTGAAGCGCCTAAACACTCCTGTACACCACAGACGTCAGTGACATTTCTCTCTGTCCCCTCATTTCCCAAAGTTAAGACAAAAGTGTTAAGGGTAGAACTAATACAACTAGAACAAAACTCCTCTGCACTCAAGCTGGTGGTGCAAACCCATTGTGGAATAAAAAAACAAAACAAAAACAGCTGATGTAGCTGCAGAAATGAAAAGCTTACTTTGATGAACTGTCTTTATCAGCTTGCCTTTCTTTCTCCATCTTCTTTACTCAAGCAAATACACAAAATTCTTTGCCTTTGGGCTTTGGGTTCAGTATGTGGTTGGAGATTGCCGCTGGTAGGTCCTATTTTTTTGTCCCCTTTGTTGATTCTGCCGGTTTTTCTCTGTCTTTTCTTTCACAATAATTATAATATTCTCTCTTTCTTTTCTTTCAAATAATTATAATATTCTCTCTTTCTTTTCTTTCACAATAATTATAATATTCTCTCTTTCTTTTCTTTCACAATAATTATAGTATTCTCTCTTTCTTTTCTTTCACTGAATATTGATTGGCGCTCATATGACCTTATGCAGTTGCGAGCGCCGTATAACCCTCAACTATAAAAAACAAACAAAAAAACCCAACTGAATAGTGTATCGATGTGCTTACTAGCAACTACAACAATAACCCATGGAATAATGATAATAATAATACATGTAATACTGATAATAATAACAATAATAATAATGATAATAATACATGCAACAATAGTAACACTGATAATAATACATAGAATAGTAATAACAATGATAAAAATTACTGTAATAATATTTATAATGGGCCTAATAATAATCATAAAAAAATAATGGTATTAATAATAAGGATATAATAACAATATCGTCGTGATCTCTTTTGCTAAAATAGCATTTTTTCCCCCTTGAAACTGTGAACTGAAATCTACATTCAGCAATCCAGAAATGTCAAAAGTATAGTTCTTATTGTATCCTCGATGCCCACAATATATAGAGGGAGAGCAGGGATGCCTCGGACACGCCAATTCTCGCTAAACTATTGAAAGTACACATTTTGTCACTGAATCACATCAATGTGTCAACTGAGGTTGACCTTGCTGTGTTTTTGCCACCACACTGAGCGAAGTCTTGCATCTGCGAGAAAGAAATAAGAAATTAATTAGTGATTTTGACAAGGGTGTATCTATGTTCTCACCTTAGTTTGTAAGGTTTACACGTCACAATAGTGCACCAATCCTTTCACAAAGCTATGTAGGCCTACATATTATGTATCTGTGCTTTAGGGTGTCTGTTTCATGCCAAAATCGTAAAATTAAAACTGGCTTTCATGAGGTCTGTTTTATGAACATATTTCCTACACTACCCCCATATAGGGCCACTTCGTACAGAGGGTGGGGGTGATTTCGTGCACTGTTCGAAGTCTCCCGACGACTAATGAAAGGGTAGTTTGGAATCAGAGTTTACATGAAAATGAATTTTTTTAAAGTATAGTATACTTTTGTGTTGTTGTTTTTCCCTGACTCAACCATGTCAAGGAAATCAAAGAGAAAAGGGCCTTTTAGTTCATGAAAAGATGAAACTCGCCACGCTAGTACTTGTTAATGGCTCACTGTCTTTGCGTCTTGTGCAGAGGCTATGTACAAGTACATTTGAAGAAATCTACTCGGAACACGCATCAGTGCGTTTTAGAGAAGCTCGTTTATGACTGCACCATTTTTGAAGATCCTCTTGGAACCCCCCCCCCCCCCCCCCACCCCAGAGTATAATGTGATAAAATGTTCAAGGATGTTCTTATTACCTGACATTTGTCATAATATCTACTATAATCTGTCATGGCCAACATTATAATCATGCCAGAAACATGGAAAGTGAATATAATCTACCCGCAAAAGACTGGGTTTCTGGGTTCTGGTTCGATCGTGGCGCCCTTCCCATGAAACCTAGAGAACGTAACGTTGTTATCGTCGAACTTGGGATTGCCGGGGAGTGTGTCCACTTTGTTGGGAAAATTATGATGTCAGAAGAAAACGAAGCGGGTGACTAGGAGTGTCTTCTCTAACAAAATAAAATAAGAAAGCAATTCTTTCTTCTATCCATGTGAGGAAGATTTGACCATTGTAGAATGAGAACAGTTATTCTCCCTCCGATTTGAGGCTCAACAAAGAGGTCAGAAGGCTCCCATAAGTTTGTCGTTAAAAAGGCAACCGTTAATGCTTCTATTCTCATTGAAGTCTCCAGTGATGTTTAATTTCACATTTAAAAGCTCAAAGTGCAACCCTTGAAACTCTTTTCAAACAG